ACTTGACACTTCATTTACCTTTGCTTTGTGGTTTTCATTTGTAATTATTTTAGGTTGTAATCAGAAATGCCAGCTAGAACTTTTATTACAGTTAGGAACAAAAAGCAGCGTAGAGAGAGAGAAGACAGGGTAGTTTAGCCCAAAGTCTGAAAAACAATTTTTAAAACCACAAAAAGATACATGTAATAATAGAAATAATAATGAAAATAATTGCTACTAGCTATTGAGCATCTATGAGGCAGTTAGGTTCCACATACATTCATAATTATAACAATCCTATCAGATAGGTAAGAGGGAAGATAGGGTCAGGAAATGAATGATTTGCTGCAAAGATTATGTTTTCAGATTACCTTAAAGGCCAAAAAAAACACAAAATAAAAATGAGGAAAGGCCTCCCATTTTCTGTCCCCTTTCTACCCTCCTTTCCCCTCTCCTACCCCAGTGGAACCTTGAACTCCTGAAACTTTTTTTTTTTTTTTTTTTTTTTTTTTTTTAGCTGAGCCATCCTGCTACCTGTTGGCAGCTCAGCGGCTGCTCAGCTCGGGCTGGACTCGAACCGCTGTTGCTCAGAGCTCAAACTCTTGAGCGAGCTCTTGAACTCCTGAAACTTTAGATCAAACAGAGCAAAACAGGGGTTTCAAATGCTCTCCAAGCAGGGGAAGCAGCAGCAAGAGAGCCAACCCAAAGTGTGCTCTTTCCCCAGAGGGAGCTCAGCAGACCGCTAACTTTTTAAATGGGGAGTTCTGCAAAAGGTCACCAAACAGGAAAAATATCAGCTGAAGGGTGTTTATACCTTTCTCGAGACTACCAAAAAAAACCAAGGTGAGGAGAAATCCATCCTCGGCTGCTGGAGTCTGCCAGACAGCCCACGAAAGACAGTTGCTAAGAGCTAGTGGTGAGCTGGCCTCTTTGAGCAGAGGGAAGCAAGGAAAAGAATATGGTACAAAGGATGAGAAGATAGTTTCTGCACTCAGAGGCTGTGGCTAATACCTTCACTAAGCAGAGTGGATTCTTAGTTTGCACATCTGTTATTTTCCCAGCACTGTTTTCCTAAGAGAGCCTCTCAGGGAAATGCCAAAAATGCCACTGTGTTTATGTTTTGTATGTGCATGACTAAATGTCTTCAACTCTGGAAGCCAGTTGAGGGATGCCGACAGGGTACACAATTAGCAACCCCCCACATGGCCTTAAACAAAGTAGGAGCCCATGCAGAGATATATCTGCCTCCATCTCCCAGGAATCAGGAACGGACAGCTATTGATGTGGATGCTTACTTGATGCATTTCTCCTTCTCTAGCCATGTAAGTTGCCCTCTGGCTGAACTCTAGAACTTGGGAGACTCATTTTGAATGAATACATTCATTCAATAAACATTTATCACATGGGCTTGCTTCCCTGCCTCATTTTGCACTCAAAGGACATAAGTTGAGTAAAGCAGAGTCCATGCCCTGGAGGAGAGAGATCATAGGCTTGTAGGATTCAGTTAACTAGTGTCTGATTTCCTTAACCTAGGCCAGCATTTCCCAGGGAGTAACTTGTACGACTTCCATTAGAAATGCAGATTCCCGGGCCTCGCCCCAGACCCACTGAAACACAATCTGCATCTTTAACCAGATCCTCTGGTGATTCTGAGCAAGAGCTATCGGTTTAGCCCATTTAATGAAAACATTTTTTTAAGTTCATTGTCTTGCTTGATGCCAGTAGTTTTAAAGAAATACAAATAGCTGCATGTGTAGGATTCGTTAAAACCTTCAAAAGATTATTTTAACAATCTTAATGGCTCCAGTTGTTGAAAGGGAAGCAAAACTCTCAGGAGTGAGAATTGCACTCACGTCTCCCCTAAACCCGAGGGACAGATCTGGGAACCTTCCGTCGGGTCAATGAAATATCTCAGCTAAAGAGGACCTTAAGAGACCAACCAACTGAGCGGCTCTGGTGAGCAGAAGAGAGTGAGGGCTCAGATGCGGAGCCCCTCCCAGACCCTGGTGCCTTGGGTCTGCAGACTCTTCACCCTGGGCGCCTGACAGCAGCTCCATGTGGCTGTTCTTATTTCTCCCCGATCTCCCAGTTCTAGTGGGGTTTATTCTATTAGCAAATCCTGCATTTTAATTGTGATCCTTTTATTTAGGAACGTTCTTCGAATGCCAAGCCAGTTCCATTTCTCTCCTTTTTTTGCAATGTGGTTAAGCAATGTGTCCTCCTCCCTTTCTTGCTGCCCTCATCACCCCTCTCCCAGCTTCCATCCTCTGCGCTAGTGGGGGCTGAAGCTACTGGGGAGCCCTGACTGGTGTGCTTGGCTTTTCACTGAGTCTCCTTGGCCTGGAGAGGTCTCATTTCCTCTGAAGCTGGAAGTTGTGTGGTGTGAGGAAGCATCAAGTGTTGACGTCTGTTTTCAGCAGGAGAGCGAGGGTGAGCATTTAGTCCTAAGGATAAACCTGGTCTACAGAAAAAAAGACAGGGACCCAGCAGACAGAAGGCAGATCTTACCATGGAACTGTGCCCAAACTGGAGCATCTAAACATTTGCCCTCCAGCCCTATTGCCATTGTGGTCAGCTTTCCTCAGCCTTTCTTAGGAAACTCTATAGTACTTTTTAATCAGAGTAAATGTCTCCCAGAAACAAGGCTTTCTACCACGTCCTTTTTAAAGCATAAAGATGTTATGGAAAGAAAAAGAAAAATCCATCAAAGGGCATTACAGAAGTTGCCATTGTAAGAAAAATCAGTGGGTGTCAAAAATATTTCCAAGTTGAATATCTATTTCATGCATGTTTTTTACAAAAAAGAAAAATGCAACAATCAAAAAACCTCAGGGCAGCAGAAGGTGTGGGAGAGGCCTTTTAAATCGGTTGTAGTGAGATGATTCTATCAGATCTCTCCATGCTTAAAGTTAGAATTTAATTTTAAGGAAATCCCATAATTACAAATCCTAAAATTTGGGAAATCAGAAATCTGCTGATGGGATACTCCATTGTGTAAAGTGGACTCAATCTTGGAACGCGTAATGTAGCTGAGGCCGCCTGCGACAGGAGTCCAGGAGATTTGGGAGGAAGCATGGGCTTTTATTTTCTCATCTGCAAAGTGAAAAGGGGCTCCTTTGGACTGGAAAATTCTGTGATTTCCTCAGTGCCTTAATCTGTTAGTGCTTGACTTGCTTTTGCAGAATGAATTTTCAAAAAAGTTCTTAATTCAAAGTCATTGACTGTATGTATCAGAGCCTAACGTCATCTGTTTGGGGCCTGTGTATAACAATACCTCGTATGTCAGTCAAGAGTGTCTTATAATGAGTCATTTTGTATGTCAGTAAACAAATTTTACATTCCGCTACTACTCTCCCACCCCCACCCCATAATGAGGAATCCAAAATGATCCCCTGGAACTGAATTTACTTCTGTCCTACATGCTTTTATGGCAAGACTGTCGGAAACAACAAAGGCTGTCCAGCTTCTGTCTCAGGACTTCCATGCTGCTGGCGTCCTTCGGATCCACTAGATGTGCACAGAAATGTTATTTTAATAACATGGGTTGTAAAAACGAAAACGAGGTCAGCATCTCTCGTGGTTCAAGTTGTGGCCATAAAGAACAGGGAACTGGAAAAGAATCATATCCATGTCTGATGTCTCATATGAAACCATTACCGAGCCAACTTTGAGCCCCTGACCCAAAGTCATTCCACACTAATGCCCTGAGGGGTGGCGTAGGCTGGGAGAAACAGATCATTATGGAGTCAGAGAGACTTAGGCTTAGGTCTGGTTGAGATTCGTCATGCTGCCACCTGACCTTGAGCCCAGTTCTCTACCTCCCTGAGCCTCAATTTTCTCGCTGTAAATATAAGGATATAGATAACTATAGTATAGGATTTCTTTTTCTCTTTTTTGGTGAGAAACAAGTTAATGGACATGGAAGTGCCCAACAAAATGCTTGGCACATAGTGGGCACTCTTAAAACCGTATTGCTCTTGTGCAACATTGCAAACGTATGTAATATCAACTTGTACACTTAAAATGGGTTCAAAGGGTAAATTTTGTTGTTTGTATTTTACCACACACATACAGAGGAAAGTATTGCTATACCTGACCATCATCTCGTAAGGCCTAACAGGTACCAGCCACATCTTCAACATTCTGGGACCTAAGGGGAGCTTAACCATATTGACACAAAATATTAGTTCTAGAGGGGCCCTTGGAGGAGGCTGCCTAGTCTGACCACCCCAAATGGTGGTGTTCCATCCCACCCAGCCCAGGACCAAGGTCTTTACATTTGCCCCCCTTCCCAAAAGCTTCTCTTCAACTTCCCATGTTGTTCTAGCAGCACAGGACATGGCAGTACTGAATTTACAGTTGAGCCCTGATGAGCTGACAACACCTAGCACTGGGGGCCAGTGTTCTTCCCCAGGTGGAAGCCGGCTTCCCCGTGACTAAAGCTTCAGCTTAATGGATTTCCTTTCCATCCCTGGGCGATCTGTGGTTGGTATGTAACTCTGTGCTCAGCCACAGAAATGCAAATGCCATTTTGCTTATATTTTTACCCCAGAAAAATAAGACTTTTCACAATTAGTCACCATCTTTCTTTTTTTTTTTCAACCCATTTTTGAGCCTTAAGCCCTGGAAGAATGTGCCACACCCCACTCTTTGGATTTTGATTATTGATTATTTTGATTTGAGTTATTGGTGCTAATGGAACCACTCGAGTATATTTTATTCATAGTGAATGTATGTCTCTTTAAAGGTTCTGGTCTGGAAAAATAGCCTGCCTTAGAATTTCCCGATTTAATGTTTGTGTAGCATGTCAGTGCTGGCAGCTTTCACCTTTTAGAGTGGGGATGGAGGTAGGCAGCAGATGTCGGGGCAGCCGGCCAGTTCAGGCCTTTCTACCCTGTTGTGGTTTGTCAACAAGAAGCAATCGATGGATGAAGAGCCAGGTGACCAGGCAGTAAGCAGTTGGGCAGAAAGCACCCTTTGTGGATAGAATTGCATGTGATGCTGTTTTCTTTTGGTTATAGCAAGCCGATGAGACCCTGGATTTTGAAGAACAGATCTTGGAAGCTGCTAAATCCATTGCTGCTGCCACAAGTGCCCTGGTCAAATCGGCCTCAGCAGCCCAGAGGGAGCTGGTGGCCCAAGGAAAGGTGGGTAAACCCCACTGGCCAAGTGGAGGGACGTTCACGTAGCGAGACCCATGTGGAAAAGACGTGAACGCTTTTGGCCTGACTGAAGAAACCAGCACTGTACCTTCCCTCACTGAATTGCCAGCCTTTGCCCCAACTGACTGAAAACTCTTGTTTGCTTAAACCTGACAAACAGAAGGAGAGGTCTGCCTTCCGGGCCTCTCATCTGCTTCTGGTTAAGGAAAACATCCCAATCAGGGCCTGAACAAGACATTTATATTCCCACGGTACATTAGGTTATTTAAAGACGGAAGCTGTCGTGTTTTCCTGGTGGATGACTATATAAGCACTATAGTCAGGGACTTTATAACCCTGTCTTCCAACTCCAATGTCTCCATTCATCTTTTAGAACTGTTTAGCTGAATGGTGTCCAGCTCTGCAATTAGCATTTTCCTGGTCAAAGGGCCAGTCTGGTTTTCGATCTGAGATTTCTCCCATCTGCATCTCCGGTCACTCATTCCATCTGCATTAGCATGAAAGCATAGTTCTTTTTCAGTGATCCAAAGGATTAGCAGCACATTAGACTTATCCTGGCTGTAAGAAGGTCTTCCAATTTAAAACACTCCATGTGTCCTGTTATTCCCATACAACATGGAACCAACCCAACCATGTTAAGTCTTGCAGAGAGCCTCTCAAATATAGAGGCACTACGGAAATCCTGCCAGGTTGTGGGTTTGGGAAATTCTGTCACCATGCTTGTCAGTCACTTCTGCTTGATATTAAAAGGCCTTTGCTGTCAGTGATAGACAGATATTGTGTCTTGACCCAAGAACGTGTGACACAGACAGGAAGTCATATGCCCAACCCGTGTCCGTCCATCTCCCCCTAGGAAGTCTCTTGTGAGCTTTGCCATGTTTTAATCCAACCCTCATACTTTGACTTCTCTTTCTAAACCATTGTGTGGTATGTTTTTCAGTTTTAACATATGTACATCTCCCCAAGTAGCATGCATTCTGTCCTTTCATGTTTCTCACTCATCCCCTGTAGATACAGCACACTGCTGACCTCGCTTATCAAGTACCTTTGACCAGTCAATATGTAAAGACCAAATATGGATCACTGAGAACATCCTACCTAAAAATTTCAGTTTATCTATAAAGGGCCAACCATGTATGTGCCAGACACATTGCTAGATTCTAGAGAATATAAGTTGAATATGGCAGAGCCCCTGTCCTCCACGGACTCATATGTTCACGCATTTAAAAAGCTGGTAAAGGAGGTTCAGCTGGAGTTGGATGAACTATAGGCTTATAAGCGGGACATTGGGGTTTTACCTGACATTCACCAAGCCCTGATGTGACACCTGTAATTGCTGACAGATCCCCAATTTCATTTTCAAGTTGAGAGAGTCTTATCTCTCCAGGCACTTCCCACAAGTATAAAGGCATCTCCTCCCATAACTACCCGCTGTACGGCTGGACAGAAAATATTTCATTTGTTGCTGTAATTCCTAACTAGAAACAGAGATCATCTTACTTCCAGCCTCTTCTCTCCCCACCCCTGACCAAAAAAAAAAAATGGTCTGTATTTCCTTAAGGGTCTGCACTTAAGGAAATTGTACTAAAGGAAATGTACCACCCCTTTTTGCATCCTCTGCCAGAAAATCACAGCGTGGCTTTAGGATCTGTAATCAGGAGAGATTTAAGTTTCCCTTGGCCCTTGAAAGAAAAGGCCTCAAGGGCTCCTGCGTTTGAAATGGAGAAAGATCTGGCAGAGGAAATAAGCATGTAAAGACAGCCCCAATCCATCATTCCTGAGCTGTTCTCCCAGAAACACAATACCTGGCAAATAATGCAGGCCGTTGGGAGCATCTCAGAGTGACTCCTTGTGGTCCAGGTGGAAACCAGCCTGGCTGTGCTGGTGCAGTGTTGGAGTGGCCAGGGTCCCACGTGGGGAAGGGTGCTCCATTCTCACACTGATGCTGATGGTGGGAGTCCCCGGTGGTGCAGCGTGTCTGATGAGATGTCTTTCTCTCTAGTTCCAGACAGTGTGGGGTCTGAGGGGCTGCAGGTCACCCTGAGCCTTCCAACTCTCATTGCAGATTTCTAACCTCCACTCTCTAGGTGGGCTCCATCCCCGCCAATGCTGCCGATGACGGACAGTGGTCACAGGGACTGATTTCTGCTGTGAGTTACCTTCTCCTTCCTCCCTATTTGCTCTTTTGATCCCCTGTGGGAGGTTAGGGCCTTGGGTCACTTCTCTGTTGACTGTCCCCAGGCCCGGATGGTGGCAGCTGCAACCAGCAGTCTCTGTGAGGCAGCCAATGCCTCCGTTCAGGGACATGCCAGTGAGGAGAAGCTCATCTCATCTGCCAAGCAGGTTGCCGCTTCCACCGCTCAGCTGCTTGTGGCCTGCAAGGTGAAGGCCGATCAGGACTCAGAGGCCATGAGGCGGCTACAGGTAATGGTCACTGATGCTGGTGGGAAAATACTCCTGTTGGAGCGGGTAAGTGTCGCCAAAGGGGACAGTCTTACTTCCTTGGCATGACCCACAAGGCCTTCCATCAGCCAACTGTCTCCCACTTTTCTCATTTTCTACCATGTGCGGCCATGCATCCTACACCCTGCTGACCCACCAAACTGACATTCTCCACATGCGCCTTCTGGTCTCGCGCCTTGGGGCCCTCTCTTACCCAGAATGTCCTGGACCTCCTCCCCACCAGCCCAGCCCAGTGAACTCCTACTTGTCCTTTATGACTCAACTCCAAAGTCACCTGTTCTGGGAAGCCCTCCCTGACTCCCTGGCCTCAAGCAGTCAGTCCTTCTTCTGTCCTGCCAGAGCCCCCAACTGGGTCACTCCTATGGGTCCTGTCACTGGTACCACCATGTTTATCTTTATACCTGACTTCAACAAGGCTGGGAACTCCTTAGGCACAGGCACTATCTCTCACACCTAAGCTGGTGCCTGTTTCAATGGAAGCCCTCATTCACTGTTTGCTAAAGGAGGGAGTGTAAGGACAAAGGAATTTATATCAGACTGTTCTGAGGTTTCCCAGGGCCCAGAGAACACGCCTGTGAAGGTGACAATCAAGTCCTTCCCAGTGCATATCTTTTCCTGATTGCTTTAATTACAGAAGTATTTTCAATGCAGTGAAGCAAAGTTCTGAATGAAAAAAAACATTACATAGCCTCAACATCTTCACATGTGAAATGTTATTTTTTTCTCTTCCTATTTTTAACTATATACAAAATAATTTTGTCTAGTTGTAATCATAGCAAGAGACATTCTGCTTTTTTCCACTTGACATTTTATCATACATATCTTTTCCTTGAAGAAACAGCTTCATAATTTCTCTGTGCAAAGCTAACTGGTCCATTCTTCATGAGTCTCACTTTTAATGATTGCATGATATTACATCAGCTTACTATACCAGAATTTCCCTGAACTTTGGACATTTTGTTCCCAATTTTCTACATTTTTATTATTATAAGTGTTATAATGCAGATTGTTTATGTTCTAAAAGTATGTTTATATAAGTCATAATTTCATAAATGGCAGAAATATTTGAACAATTCCACCGAAACTCAGAACTCTCATTTTATTGAAAGTCCTAAAGTGCATTTGTTATTTGGTCCCCCTGAGCCTCTCTGACCCACCTCCCTCACCTTCATTTGACTCCTGGGATAAACCCCGGGAAAAATTGGGGAGCTGCCTTTTTGTGAATGTGTGGATTGTCTGGGTTTGGAGAACACTTCCAAGGAATACATCCTGAGTTAAGATAGACCTGGGTTCAGGTCCTGCCTCTGCCGTGTATTAAGTGCATGATCTTACACAAATCACTGAAAATTTGTCAGGCTTTACTGTGCCTCATCTGCAAAATGGGAGTAGAGATACCTGCACTGGCTCTTATAAGGGTTAAGACATGTGAACTTGCTTCTGTAAGTCCTGAGGATTTACACAGATATAACACAGCATCACCCTTATTATCACTGTTGCTGATTGAACTGGATACTGCAATGTGATGTCTGAGTTCCTTACAATGGAACCTATGTTCCATTCCAAGCTCTATAACTTACTAGGTACAGGATCTTAGACAAGTTACTTCACTTCACTTTCTACATCAGAAAAGTAGACTAACAATTTCTGACCTCATAAGCTATTTTGAGAATATGATGACTACTTGTCAGAGATTAATTGGCTTCCCCTTCACTTCTTATACAAGCCCTCATAGTCCTTATTGGTCACTTTAGATTGCTAACCAGATTGTAGCACAATGCTAGAATCATTTATTTACAAAATTGTAATTCCCCTCAAAAGTGTGTGTTCCTTAGGGACCAGGAGCTGGATCTCCTGTTCATTCATCTGTGAATGAACTAAGGTTAGGAAGGTGCCAGTGTTGGTAGAATCAGTGGATGGATGGATGGATCGATGGATGGAAAGACAGATGGACAGATAATGGATACTAACTAGAGAGAACTTCTGTGTTATAATTGGATGATAAATTGATTCATAGTCCCATGAACCATTCCTTCATTTCTGTTCTTGCCAGATCCATATGGCTGTTTCTAATGATATGATGTGTGTTTTGTTCCCTCTCCAGGCAGCAGGAAATGCTGTGAAAAGAGCCTCAGACAATCTTGTTCGTGCGGCCCAGAAGGCAGCATTTGGCAAAGCCGATGATGATGATGTTGTAGTGAAAACAAAGTTTGTAGGGGGCATTGCTCAGGTGTGTGATGAAATCCAGACAACACCTATTCCCACCATAGGTACTGTGTTATAACAGAGACACACAAAACAACAGTGACTAAGCAAGATGGAAGTTTACTTCTCCCATGTAGCAGCCTGGGTGTAAGCAGTCGAGGGAGGATGTGGTGGCCCATTTCCTTCTGAGACCTACACTCCATCTCCCTATTGCTCTACCATCCCTGAGAGTTGCCCTTGGCCACTTGGTCCAAGATGGCTCAATAAGCACCTGTACTTTCCAGCTGGCATGAAGAGGGAAAGAGGGGGCGGGCACTTCCTCTCACATTCCGTTGGTCAGCACTTAGTCACATGGCCAACATCACTGTAAAGGTGGCTGGGAAATGTAGTATTCTTAGTAGTCATGTGCCTCATTGAAAATCAGGGATTCTGTTATAGAGAAGGAGAAGAGGAAAAATTGGAAGACAGTGCTATTATCATGTAAATAAAATTATGCATTTGGAGCTGCTACCCACTCAAGATATTTGGCCCAACAGAAAGAATGAATGACAACCCCTTCCCAGAATTTTTATAGAGTAGATGGGATAAGAGAAGAGTAGCCTGACTTATACAGGACTGCCTTCTTGTGCATGGGTCTGAGGCAGAAACTTCAGGAAATCAGGCTTGCAGTTTAGGCTATGTGTTGATATAAATAAACCCATTATATGAGATTGGTTTTCTTCTTAGAGCCAGGAGCACTGAGACCCTGTTACTGAAGTTACTCTTTTCTGTGCCTTCCTTAGCTCTTCCTGAATCAGTCCTTCTATTTGGAAATACACTGGATGCATTTTTACCAGGCCCTATTTCTCGATACACTAGTTCCTTAAGAGATTCCATGAAGAATGGTCTCTGATCAAATAAGTATGGGAAAGTCTATACTCCACCTCAGAGTATCACAGTGATACTAGATAGGGCCCTGAAAAGGCCCACAGGAAAGAAATCCATTTGGCTTTCTTGAACACAAACTTAACCTTTTTCACACAATACCTATTAACTCATATTCCTCAGGTCATACTGTAGAAGCATGAAATAAGTAGATGAAAACCATCTAGTCACTAAGGAGTCCAGCTCTAGTTTCAGGAATACCTGGGCCGGGTCCTGCTCCACTAGCTGGGGACTTCAGGAAAGTGGACTCCACCTCTCAGCTTCAGGTTTATTACTGGAAAAATGGGACATTCAATGGGGTATACTACACATTGTTGCCACAGACACGATGGAACACTCCGTACAAAGTGCTTACACCAGAGCCTGGTGCATAGTGGCGATACCGTAGATGTTTGAAATTTAATCAGAAGTGAGACGTCCACTTATTTTTCTTGGGTCAACTGGGTCATTGGTCTCAGAGCCCAAACCGTGGCCCAGAGGCTGGTCCCCAGAGCTATGAATACTTAACTCCTGGTGCATTGCTATAGTAGAGGCTGTGGGAGCTGGTGAGGCATGCGGTGGAGGGGGAGGGCAGTTGCCTAGAAAGTTGTAGATCCATCCAGCTTGCCGCTTTCCTTCCAGATTATCGCCGCCCAGGAAGAAATGCTGAAGAAAGAGCGAGAGCTAGAAGAAGCAAGGAAAAAACTGGCCCAGATCCGCCAACAGCAGTATAAATTCCTACCCACCGAGCTGAGGGAAGATGAAGGCTAAGGCCAGAGCCAAGACGGCAAGCCCCAGGGGGTGGCTCTGCAGGAACTGGCCAGTGCTCCTCAGAGGCTGGGCCCTCACCCGGAAGCGGCCTGCCTCCCCCTGGGGCCGGCCCAGAGCTCTGAGTGCTCATTCTCACATCTCTGTCCTGTTGGGCACCGGCTGCATGATAGTGATGTCACACGGTACAGCGTCCCACCCACAGCCCCTCTGCCACCTCCCCTCATGCCTCACCGTATCTCAGGAGAGAGGGGCGCACATTTCGTGGACTGTTACCAAAAAAGAGAAGTCAGTATTATGTCGTTCTCAGCCGCTTGTGCTTTTGTTGGTCCTTCTCTAGGCCTGTTCCTGGGCCTTTGTGAAATCTTAAAAGGAGAAAAATGATGGCCTGAGGACATCATCGATGCCACAGATATTCAAAGATGCTCTTCTCCCTCTCAGGAGAAGGTGGAAGTTGGAGTTGAACACGGTTAATAAAAGCCAGAAACATAAACCAGTGTGGACTCCAGGAGGGCGCCTAGGGTCGTCCTTCTGTGTCTCGAGTGCTGGCTCGCCCAGAGGGTGAAAAATTCCTGCTCCTGTTTGCACGCCTTCTTCCCTCTGTGTGTAAGCTCCCTGTACAATCTAGACCCATCTGTGTTCTGTGGCCCAGAAAATTGAATGATTTTTTTTCCTCCATAATCCAAAGGGCAGAGGTATGGGGGGGACTGTCAGGGCTTGGTGAGCAGGGGCTATAATAAAATGTGTGGGCTCCTTACTTTGCAGAGGCTGTTTCAGTTCATACAAATTCATCCACACAAACCCATGTCCCCCAGATGACAGTCAGTGCAACACCCCCCCTGATTTTAAGCATTCAAGGTGTGGATTCACCTGAACAAAAGCAACTCCTTAGTGACTCCATCTTCCAAGTCCCACACCGGCTACTCTGCTCCTCACGTGGTCAGAAATCACGATTGGAAGCCATCTGTTCCAAAATCTGTCACCTTTCCTCCCTCCCAAAATGGACATTCTCCCTTTGTCTCAATAATCCTAAAATCTAGATGCATCCTAAAATCAATATGAACCTTTAACAAGATAGCTTTGCTTATTATTGCATCTTGTAAGTGACGGTATATGGTATTGTCAGAGTTCATCTTCTGGATGCTGCTGTTGCATAATTTCATATATATTTTTTCCCTCTCACTTATTTCAGAGCCCTCTCCTTGGAAGGGCATCTTAAGACCTTGAATTTACCTTTAATCTGAGCCTTGACCCAAGATAGTAGATGAAGGATGAGTGGCTCGTGGGATAGATCCTAATGCCAGGTAGCGAGTGCCTTTGAAATTCTTCATGGAGGGAAAACAGTGGTAATGGCAGTACATGGTTTTCGAAGCCGGTAGCTGTGGAAGGCAGTCATCCTCCACCTCTCTGCAGTAACGTGGTATCACATCTCGTATCTCGTCCGCAGTATAGTTTCAGAATTCCAAAGTTCATCTTCTGGCTGCCTGTCCAGGGGACCAGTTGGTGCTTTGGCCTTCAGAGGGTGTCACCTTTAAACCTTGCCCAACAGCCCTGCTTTAGCAGACTCTAGTCCATGTCATGGTTTTAAAATATAATTCAACTTTTGACAATTTCCCATATTTATGAGAGACTTTTAAGTGCTACACATAATAGAGTTTTTTGCCCCCGACAAGTAGAAAGCGAGAGGAAGCATAGTGTCCACGAAGAGCAGGTGGCGAGAGTATGTAGGGAGGTGGGGATGGAGGCGCCGCCTGTGAGGAGGAGCGTAGCTGGCAGAGCCCTGGCATCTCGGGAAGCTCACATGCTTTTGGCTCATCCTCTTTGAGTGTAGCTAGTACAGCTCTTCATCTCTGCCCTGGGCTGTGCCCCCTTGTACCTCAGGATGAAAACTGAGGGCCCTGTGGACTGGGAGCTCTCCCCTTGAGACACTCCACAGACAGGCACAGGGTGCTTTGAGAGACACTTAAGCCTCAGAGTCAAGCTGTGTTAATGCCCTCACGTCACAGGACTCTGGGTGGCCCCTCCATTGCCCACCCTCACCCCCCTTTTATTCCAGACTGTACAATTGCTCCTCCCCTCCCACCTGTCCCCTGTCACATTCTGGCATCCCAGGAGCCAGGCAGGGACAGGCAGTGAGTTCTCTGTCCCTTCCTCATAGTTATTTAAAACCTCTACTGCATTTGATACAGAAAAACTTCAGGAGATGAGCCAAATGGAAAAGCCTGTCGTTCACACGTCAGAGAACAGGCATGGAGCAAAGTTTATTTTTGTAGGACCTATAGAAATATCCTGTTTGGAATGTTCCGCTGATAGGAGCTTTAGGAAGTTAGTTCCCAGTCATCATCTGGTGTAGTGCTGGTTTTTTCATCTGTCCCTTCCTCGTCCCCCCTGCCTACGTGCATGCAAATGGCTTGGTCTTCCCTCATTTCGTGAACTGGTTGAAAGGCTGTGCTTTGGGCACTATTTCATAGGCGCTAGAGCAGGTGTCCTCGTGGCATTGAGGGGGGGTCTGTTGGTTCTTCTTCAAAGGGAAATAACAGGTATGTGCTGCATTTGGGATGTGAGTTTTCAGAGCATCTAATGAAAGAATGGTCCTGGGCCTAGAGCATAGAAATGCATCTCTATGCCAAGGGGAAGATGGTACGTGTCCCATGAGGGGAGCTCACACTGGGCTGTGAAGCCTTCAGCTGATCTTTGTGCCCAGAAATTGCTGTCTCTGAAGGTCAAAAAAGGAACCTGAATTGGACTTCAGAACTGCCTAGTGATTTGGGAGTTTTGGTTTTGCTTGGCCCTGCCTTTCAAAAGGATGCTGAAGTCACATTCAGTTCAACAACCAGCCTTTGTTTAAACTCTGCTGGTGTCCCGCCCAGTGTGGCCCTGGTGATCTGAGCAAGCAGGTACCTCGACCCCTCCAGTCGGGCATGGTGGGCCTCAAGGCCTCCTACAGAGGAGCCACAGGCCTCAGACCAGCCTCCAGTGCATGTGCTTTATCACAGAAAACCCCCCAGGGCTTCTCGTAGGCGTTCCCTGCTTGCTTTCTGAGGGTTTTATCAGTGAATTTACAGGCAACCAAAGCCTATTCCTAATTTATCAAAATAGAACCCCAAGAGAGGGAACCCCACCACCCAAGTGGTCCCAAGGTTAAAGCCTCACATGGGAACCAGGCAGCAGGGTGATGGTGGTGAGCAAGCCGTGGTTTCCACTCCCAGGGGACTCAGGGACCTCCTGCTGATGAACCTGTTTCCTCCTTGGCAGTGAACCCCCAAGTCTCTCCCAGCTCTGAGGTGTGGGGCTCTGGCAGGGCCGCTGGAGATTCTGCCCTGAAGATCCTAGCACAGACTATCAGCGTGTTGAGCTCTCAGACTCCTGGAGGAAGCGTCCCCTCTGCTGACTGAGGCAATGGCCTCTGAGAGCTTTATGGAAACCCAAGGAATTAGGAAATGTTTGCTTCAGGTTAAAAGGCAGTTGAGTTCAGAAACCCAAAGATCCTGACAGCTGTGCTAGGGACCCAGGTTCCCCCTCTCCATCGTCTCTTCCAAGTGCCAACCTCGAGGTGGCCTCTTGGGGAAAAGTGTCCTCCCCCACAGAGTCCCCACGTACCACGTTTAAAAGACCCTGAGGCGACTGCTGTCTTTCTGAGCATCTGCTGGGTATGTTATCTTTATGGTCATTAAGAACAGGCATGTGACAGAGCTTATGTGGACTGATTTAGAAAACACTACAAAGACCCATTTCTGTAAAAGAGGTTTGGATTTGGCCTTCCTCTGAGCCCACCTCCCAGCCCTCCAATAAGCATCCACATGTGAGTCAGCCCATCGGTGTCTCCTGGTTCCTGGAGCTGGGTTTCACTCAGCTGCCTTCTCATCAAGCTGCAAAATCCAGAAGCAAATAGGAAAGTTAAACTCTGCTGCGTGTCATAATGTCTTTATTGATCTGGTCACATAAATTATTTTTTTTTTATTCACCAGAAATAAACTTTTAAAGGAATGAACCTGTGTGAAAGTCTGGTGGGCATGGGAGGAAGGTGGAAGAGAGACGGAGGACAATGGGTCGTTGTCAGATGAGAGAAATTCCACCTGGAGTATCAGCGCCCTTGTTCCCAGTCATGCGTTAGAGGAGGAGAGTGGAGGGGCATGTGAGAGAGACAGAGCCGGGGGTACCACTGAATTCCAGACAGCTTGGCTAACTCGAGAGGAAATTCAAAGAAGAAATAGTAAGGAGCAAGATGCAATGATTTTCCTCTGACAGAAGCTGTCCTGGACAAGTAGCTCAGGGCTCGTGGACTGTGCGTGTTACCTAATTGAAGGTTGCACAGCTCAGTACAGAGTTCCTCTCTTCCTCTCCAAATGACTTGGGGCCTGACCCAGGAAAGTGAGCTCCGCCTCCGACAGCTGAGCCAGAAATACAGCCTCCAGGGCCCGCAGCCCTCCTTCCTGTAGGGAAGGCGTGCAGATGGCTTTCCAGAATCCTTCTCTGGGAGCAGCCAGAATCAGAAAAAATGAGAGGTGTTTCTGATCTACAAGAGGGCAATGTCAAAGAATCACCTTAGCAACGGAGAATGTGTCGCCAGTATGTCTAACAACTGAGAGGATTATTTTCCCCCATAAAATGGTGGTTTGGGATCTCTAAGCCAATGGGTAATGTTTTCTCTCTTTGACGTAACTAGAATAGGGATGAGACTGACTACCACCGACACGAAGGTTGGAAGCCTGAGGCGCAGTCCAGGAAAGAGGGGAGGTAATGTTTGTGGAGTCTTCTGGGTGTGCTGGGGCTGAGCACACAGCTCCCTCCAGCAGCTGTGGAGAAGGCATTATGGCCGTTTAGCAGAGGGGCAAACCGAGACCCAGCAAGGCACCACAGCGGTGGATGTGGGATTGGAAGCTGTCTGCGGGAGGTCAGATCCCCTGTGCAGCTGAATTAGGTTGACCTATGGTCAAAGACCTTACCAGAGGGCTCATCACCCACTGTGTAAAGAACTCTGGGGACCCTACCTTATTCTGGAGGTCACAGCCCAGGGAGAATAAATTTGTCACAGGGCCGTGGGGCAAAGCCCTGCAGTTGGGAGAGGCTTTCCAGGACATTTGGCCTGACTGCTGATGAATGGGGGGTTTCCAGGCAGGGAAGAGGTGGGGGATGGGATTCCAGGCCTGGGTTTATGAAGGGGTGGATAGCTTAGAGCAACAAGGGGCAATTTCACGGAGGGCAGCGTTTCTGGCTTGGGGCCTGTGGCATGGAGAAGAGGGTGGCCAGGAGCACACTGAAGGACCTGGTGGCGAGCTGGGACACTTGGACTTGCTGCCAGATGAATCGTCCTGTGGCAGACCTGAAGATGTCCTCCATCCTCAGCTCCCTACGGAAGTGTGGAGATGCACTAACAAAGGTCAGCAACTCGCTGGAGGTCGGTCTCAAACTGTAGTGCAAGGGAAGCTCAGAGCAAGGAGAGGACTGAGCTGAGCCACAGGCCTCTCCAGTGGGAGGTGCCACCGCAGGAGGGACTGTGCCAGGAGCCAGGGCGGGCTTTATTTATTAAGGGGTGCAGACATTTCATCTCTAGACAGCTAACAGTGTACTCCTCCCACACACCAGGCACAGCCCTTGATTCCCCCCCATTTAATCCCCACAACAACATATAAAGCATGACGCATAAGAACTCTTACTATCCTCATTTTACAGCAGACAAGGCTGCGGCACAGAGTGGTTAGGTAACTTGCCCACGGCCACACAGAGAACAAAGCTGGGCTCTCCCAACCACTGTGTTCAGATC